CGAACCCTTCATGGTTCAATGTGCCCATTTCACTGTCTGGGTTTGGATAATTCCTTCTTTTTTCCCTCAGCAAAGCATTTCCTCGTCCTTACAGTCACAGACAACAGGTCCCCAAGGCCTTGAGCCCACCTTCCCAGGCTACCCAGCACAGATCTCCTCCTTCTGGGAACAGAGGTGTCAGAGCTACTTCCCTGACCTGCACAGAGCTGGAGATGTCTTCTATTACTCTGCTATTACATTTGTATCAGTGTATATATTAATATATGAGCTATATTATATTACCATGTGTCCTAGTTAGGACAACTGAGACCAGTTCATCAGGGTATGGGTGTAACCCAAAACTGTGTATTCTATAGCCTTCCATGCCATTTCCCAGAAACTGTTATCAATGAACCATTTACACCATCTGCCCATAGAGCCTGACTCCTCAGGCTACAAACTAGGTGTTAAGAGGCCTGTGAGATAGGAGGATGCTCCTGTCCTCACACCCTTTGTGGAACTCCCCGCCCTGAGGGAAGTGCTGAGCATTCCTGCCTGAACTGCAGGATATATAATCTTGGAGTCTTGGAACATTTTGAACCACTCTGTGGGATCCAGAGAAGGACTGCGGCTCATCGCTCTCAAACAGACTTGGATCACCCTATACTGGACTCCAATCACCACTTTGACCAGACTGCAACAGCTCTCCCCCCAGCATCTCACTGCAATCACCACTTTTGACCAGACTGCAACAGCTCTCCCACCAGCAGGTTCTTCCCCTCTCCCTTTACTTTGGACTCAAGCGGGGCCCAAGGAACACCACGTTGTTCATGCCCCAGGGTACTGGGTTATACATTTGGGTTTTGTGGGTTAAGACCAATTGTTTGTTTGTATGATTGTACTTACTGTATTATTTTAGTAAATTGTTATTCTGACTTATAATCTCTCCTTTGAGTTGAGTTCATTTCCCCTGCTGGTTAACTCTTAAACCAGCACACCATGTTATATGATAACATTTGAAATTATACAACACATGAGTGGGGAGGCCCTGGCCCAGGTTGCCCAGAGAAGCTGTGGCTGCCCCTGGATCCCTGGAAGTGTCCAAGGCCAGGTTGGACGGGGCTTGGAGCAACCTGGGCTGGTGGGAGGGGGTGGAACTGGATGGGCTTTAAGGTCCTTCCCACCCAAACCATCCTGGGATTTATAAATATATATGGGCTGTATGAAGGAACCTTTTCTAATCCCTGTGAGTTACTTCCTAAAGAAGGTAAATCCCAGGGAATGGCAGAGAAAACAAGGAGAACTCACTGTGCCATGTGCATCCTTGCAGCAGGTATCCATGCAGAATATTCCCTGTTGGGAATATCAGGGAAATCAGTGCATCATCAGGTGGAAGGGGGATGGAAAACCTGAACCTCAGCAGAAGAAGCAAAATAGTTGAGCAGAAAGTTCTGACATGTCAAACCCTCGACAGGGGGGCAGATGGACCCAGTCCCAAAATCAAAACAGGAGCACAGGATTTCAGAGCTCACATCTCTGCCTGGGGTTTTCACTGTGTGCAAGTATGGAAGTGTTTTCTCCTCCAGCCTGTTTTTATAAACCAAGCAAATAACAAAACCATGCTTCAAAAACCTGGCTGTGGTCTGGAATGCTGCCAGGCTCTGCTGAGCTTGGGTTTCCCCTGCCACCATTGTGCTTAATTTTATTTCATTTTTCATGGAAAAATATTGATTCGTATGTAAGGATCAGTCCCAAGCATCCCTGGCAAGGGGAAAAGCCAAATGCACACACCCACTCAGGTCACCATTATCACATAAAAACAGTGACAGCTGCTGGAATTCACCTCCCTGCTCGCAAATACCAATTTTCCTTGGGTTCTCCTTGTGCTACAGGGCTGGTCCCTTGTGCTTTATTTCCTCTTTATTATAAAGCAGAGGTGGTTGTGGGGTGTGTTTTCATATGTTACTCCAACATCAAGGCTTAAATTCTTGGCTCACCAGAGGACACGTGGAAAAGAGGGTTCACCTGGGAAAGGCAGCCCTGACCCCTTCCTGGGTCATTCTAAAAGACTGACAACATAAAGAGCACTACAGAATTCATCAGTTCAGAGCTCCCCCCTGGTTAAAGTGAGTTCTGCCACAAAAACAGGAAGATCTGATGCTATTTTGTGGCAGGTGTCAGGAGTGAGTGACAGGCACCTTTCACCCAGGGAGGTTTAAATAGAGGGGTTTTCATTCCTACAGCAATTCCTGTTAAACTTCTCCTCCTGAAGAAAAGGCTTTTTGTTACCCAGACCACTTTATTTCTGAAATCTCCTCCTTGCATCTTCCCCACAATCCAGACTTCTCCCCACCTGCACAGAAATTCAATGCCAGTGCTGGCATCCCCCATCCACGTGCTTTGCACTGAGCAGGTTTGACGTGGGGCAGCTTTGGAAACCTTTAATTAAAAATAGGTTATTGAAAAAGTGAGACAAGCCCATGGATGAAGAGTCCAAGAGGGACAGATCACCCAGCATTACCCACACAGCCCCATGGTGCTCATGGGGTTTGATCCTTGGCTGGCATCCCTGAAATCCTCCACGGAAGGAGACTGGGGGGAGGCTCCTCGGGGGCTGCAGCTCCGACCTCTGCTCCCTGTGAGCAGGGACAGGACCCAGGGAACGGCTGGAGCTGTGCCAGGGGAGGGCTGGGTTGGGGATCAGGGAAAGGTTCTTCCCCCAGAGGGTGGTTGGCACTGACCAGGGCTCTCAGGTCTCCCCAGAGCCTTCTCCTCACCCCCAGCTCTCCCACCTGTCTCTGGAGCAGAGGCAGAGGATGAGGAATTCCCAGTTGGAATTCCCAGCTGCTTGGAGGACAGAGGTGCCATACTTTAGGCCCTCTGAAGGCAGCAGTAACACTTTCCTGCTCCCCTTGGACAGGGAGCTGCTGGGGTCATGAAACCACCAATGCCAAGGCCAGAAAGGCTCTGTGAGCCCATCTCCTCCTGCAGCTGGATGGGAACAGGCAACCAAACTTCCAAACCCAGTGAACTGCTCCCTGTGCCCTTGGGGCTCCCCTGCAGCGTTGTCTCTGCCAGTCCCACACTCCTTCCCACCCATGGAGGTGGCTGAGGGGGCTCCCCAGGGGCCACTTGGGCACAGTCACAGGTGGCTTTCAAGACATGGGGGCTATTTTTGAGGGGAAAATGAAGTCTTCTGCAAATCAGAAAGGATAAAGGTGGCACAGGAAAAAGGAGAAGGGAAGAGTCTGTGTGAGATCCCAGAAAGTGGAGGAGAAATGGGAGTATGGACAGACCAGAAGGGTTTGCATCCGGCTCCAGCAGCACCAAACAGCACCTGTCCAAGTGACCTGCACCTTTCCCACTGGATTCCCAGAGCAAACATTTTTCCTACATAGCAGGGGAGGAACTGCCTGGACTGCCTGGAGAGTGCTCCAGCTCTCTTTCCTCCTGTGGCAGTCCTTTGGATGCCTCCAGAGCAAAGCAATCCCAATTCCTTCACACTCGCGGCACCAGCAGCATCAGCCAGAGCAGGAGCTGGAGTGCCTGTGCTGAGCAGGTTCCCAGCTGCATCCCATGGAAAAAAGGTCAAAGATGGGAAAAGAAAAGTGAATTCCTGGATATTTTAAAGAGCGAAAGTGTTACAGTCACTGCCTCACACCTGGAAAGGTTTCTCCCAGGCCAGCGCTGAAAACCCCAACGTGTCCAGGAATTGTTGAAGAACCAGAAAGTTCCATTGTGAAAGTCCATCACCAAAGCAAAGTTCACCACAAGGGATCTTCCACTTTTTGTCTTCAGCCTCTTCCAGGATCAAAACCTTCATGCCCATGACTTGGAGCTGCCAGAGGGCAGGGATAGATGGGATATTGGGAAGAAATCCTTCCCTGTGAGGGTGGGGAGGCCCTGGCACAGGTTGCCCAGAGAAGCTGTGGCTGCCCTGGATCCCTGGAAGTGTCCAAGGCCAGGTTGGACGGGGCTTGGAGCAACCTGGGCTGGTGGAAGGTGTCCCTGCCCATGGCAGGGGTGGAACAGGATGAGCTTTAAGGTCCCTTCCCACCCAAACCATCCTGTGAGTCTACAATAACAAAGACCTTGGTGTGGTCATTCAGAGATTTGGGAGCCATTTGTCCATCAATCCTCTGCTGATGGATCAGTTTTCCCTCTCCTGGTTTCATTCACATGACCAGGAACCTCAGCCTGATGTTGGCAAAGATGTTCATGGAGCTTTGCAAGTATTTGGGTTTTAATCAAAAGCTCTGCAGAGAAGATGCAGTTCGTGCCACATTCTGCTGGTGAAACTTAGAAGGAAAATCATAACAGAGGAACTTCAGCAAGGGATTTCAGGAACCTCCCCAAGCCCACATTGCAGAGAAACAAAATGAAAAACACTTTTCACTGGAAGGAAAGCACACAGATATTCCAATTCTCATCCCTTCCCCCAGAACAAAGTGTAGTAATAAAATACCGCCAGAAATTCTCATCTTCCCCCTTGCACATGGATGTTCTCCTGGAATTAAAACCCCCTTGAATGTTCTCCTGGAATTAAAACCAGCCTTGCCCCAGAGAGCTGTGTAGAGACTGAAGAAGAGGTTTCTCCTTTTCAAAATTAAATTAAAGCATCTGAACAGAACAATTCCCTGTTGTTTTTCCATCAAACCTTTCTGCCCACAGCTGTCCCAGGGTCAGGGCTCCCAGCACTGCGTGGGCAGATCCCCCTTCCCAAGGGCCCTTGGCAGCTCCAAGAGCCACCACAAGCTCATAATGAGGAATTTTCAGGAGCTTTGCTGTCCTGTTCATTGCAGGTTCTTGGAACTCCATGGCTGTGACACCTCATCTTCATGGCAGCCCCTGCTGGGGCCTCGATGCCTCGGGAGAAAACACAGAATCATGGAATCATAAAGGTTGGAAAAGGCCTCCAAGGTCATCAAGTCCAACCTTTGACCAAAACCCCCAGTGCCCACGAAACCATGTGCCCAGGTGCCACATTGATGCCAAAAAGGCAGAAATACGACTGCTCAGAGTTTTGGGTCTTTAAGCAGCAAAGGTATTTATTTTGAGCAATGCTGGGGGGCTGGGCAGCTCTTGCTGCACAAACCAGCTCCAAAGTTCTCAGTGAAAAGTCAAGTAATTTATACAGTTTTCATGAGTGATTACAACATCTTTGCATGTTCATCTAATTTCACAGTCTAATTATCATAGTCATAATAGCCAGAGTTTAGGTGGAGCTTGAGGTGGAGTCGTTCTTTTGGGGAGTTTTCTGGGGGTTGTTCCTGTTCTTCGGCCTCAGGAGGGTCGTCTCTTCTACTCTTCTTTGTCACGAACTTTTCAACTTTTCCTGACTACGTGCTGGGAGCTTGGGAAAATCCCCCTGATGCAGCTCGTCTGTCTCCCTGGATGTCCATTCTATCTAATTCATGACTACTGAGTTGACCTTTCTGTTCTCTTTTCATTAGTACAGAACATACACAGGCAGAGCTCTGGAACAGGGCACCACTTGTCCCTTAACATTAATGTTGTATCCTCAGAGTGAGGGGCTGTAACATCTCCCCAGAACAGAATTCCAGCATCTCAGAGCCCTTGCTCGGTTTCAACATCTGCTCATTTTTGAACACTCCCAGGGATGGCGATTCCACCACTGCCCTGGGCAGCTGTGCCAGGGCTCAATGACCCTTTCAGTGAAGAAATTTTCCCAATATCCAACCTAATGTGTGTCCTTGTGGTGGGACAGCAAAGGAAATGCCACCTCCAGCTGCTGTGAGAGGGACCCCAGGGCTGTGTCCCGGGGAGGGGAGACTGAGGAAAGGAGAAGCTGTAGAGTGGGAAGGGGAGTGTAAGGACCCTGTGCTTCATCCAGGCAACCTCAGGAGAAGGTTCCCTGGGACCTCCATGGCCATTCCACCAGCAGGTCCCTCAGGATCAATGAACAACCCTGGTGTCACTGATTCCATGGCACAGATTGCTGGTGGTGGTGGGACCTGCCCGAGGTCTCCAGGTCAGACACAAGCCCTGGTGTCCCAGCCCTGCTGCAGGACTGTTCCCACCAGGCAGGTCTGTCCTTGGCATGATCCTCAGTGGAGCTCTGCAGCTCCTCCTTGTTTGGATCCATCCCTGGGCTGAGGTTGTGGCACAGGGTGCGTCCCCTGGCTGTCTCTGCACCTCTTCCCTTGCTGTGCTTCCCAGCTCTCCCCCCAGAACACTCAGGTTCCCCACGTGCTGTGTCTTCTCCAGCTGCAGCTCCTGCAAGTGGTTCTGGAGATGGTGCAGGAGCCCTGGGGACCCAGGGCTGTGCCAAGGGGGCTGTGCTTGGGGACAGGGACAAGGTGGGAGTGGAGTGCAGATGTTCACTCTGTGTGAGAGAGGGAATGGTCAGCCCGGGTTTGGAAGGCCCGGGAGGGTCCCTCGCACAGCTCCCTCCTCCCCGGGCTGGGGTTGGAGCCCAGCCGTGGGCACACGGGGCCATCACAAGTCTGATTCCTCCATCACCCAACACATCACCGACAGTGCTGGACACACAGCCTCTGGGGGTGAGCTGGGGATCCCTGCAGGTCAGTGGGACCCCAACCCCCCCCGAGACACAGCTACCTGAGCCCCCACCCCGGCCTTGCCAGGGGGGAGCTCTGGAGCAGGACCTGAAGCCTTTCCCTGGAGCAGCTGCTCCCTCCGGGCTCCTGGAGCTGCTGCCTCGTCCGTGCGGGGCTGCTGCGGCTGCTGCCTCTGCCCCCCCCTCCTGCACGGGGACAGACACACTGGTGGCCCCGCTCCCGTCCCACACGGGGGCCGTGGGGACATCCCACCCCCTGCGCTCCGAGGGGTGGGCTCCAGGAACCGGGAACGTGGATTCCTCCAAAGGCTGATGGATTCCATCCATCCTCTCAGACCCTCCTCCCCACCCCCAAATCACCTTCTTCCTCTGTCCAGCAGGTCCCAGGGCTCCCTCCACCCTCTGCCAGTCCCGGAGGCGCCGCTGGATGTGCTCCCGGAGCCCCCGCAGGATGTGGAGCGCGTGGCTGTGGGACGGGGGGGACGAGCTGGAGGGGACAAGGAGGGACGAGGGACCGGAGTGTCCGAGGGCACCGAGCGGCTCCTCGCAGAGGGGCCGGGGGCGCAGGAACCCCCATCACCCACCCGAGCTCCGTCCTGCCGAACCTGCGGCTCTGGGACTCACCCGCCCGCCGCCGGGGAGGGGCCCCGTCCCAGGGCACTGCTGGGGAGGGGCTGGTGTTGGCACGGGCACAGAGAGGAGATCTCCGTGGCCGGGGGGTGCCCAGCCCGCCCCCACACCGCCGGCTCCCGTGGGTGTCCCGGGAGATGCTCCAGCCGGGCGCTCCTGCCAGCGCTTTCCTTGGGGAGCAGTGTCGGGAGAGAGGGATCAGAGCGGCACCTGCACCACCAGCTCTGCTCCCCGAGCCCGCTCAGCCTCTCCTGTGAGAGCTGTTGGCCTTGCAGCCAGGTCAGAGCTTCCAGGGAAAACCTGGAGCCACCCAGGGCTGGGCAGGGGTTTGGCACGAGCAGGACAAGCCTGGATGGCATCTCCCCCCGTGCCATCCCCAGCACAGACCATGCCCTGAGCCTGCTGCCCAGTGCACCCGGCAGAGCCCTCTATCCCCACCAGCCCTTCTCGTGGGGAGGGAAAAACATCTGGATGACCTCGAGGGAGCAGCACATCTGGGCTGCTGCACTCCCCAGGCTGATCCCCCTCAGCGTGGGCCACAGCCTCTGGTTCTGCAGTTCAGCTGTGGTTGGATGTGCCCCACCATGGGGTGCCCTGGCACTGCCTCATATCCCCATCATTCCCTTCTCCCTTCCTGACCTGCTCCAGGGTCCTCTGGAGCTGCCGAAGGGTGTCCACCTTCTCCCTCAGGAGCAGCCCGTGGAGCTGGTGCAGCGTTTCCAGCCTCTGCTGCAGGAGGGAGCGGCCGCTTTGCTCCAGCTCCCGGAGCCTCTGCAAGAGAGGCTGGAGTCACATCACCCCTTCTGGCTGCCCGTGGCCCCCCTCCAGGCCCAGGAAGGTTCTTCCCAGGGGCAGTTTCCAGGCAGGATGCCCGAGTCCCTCCTGGCCAGGGTGGCACCACCTCAGCCTTGATGTCCCCCAGGAAAGAGCTGAGGTTTGGTGAGTCGGTGCTGTCAGCCTGGGTATCCTCACCCTGGCATCAAGCCCTGCCCACCCCAACATTCCAGCTCTCCCTGCCTCTGCTGGGGGTCTCCAGGGACCTTCTGACCTGCAGACCAGTCACCCCATCTGCCTACAGCCACAAGGGTGGTTTTCCCAACAAACTCTTCTCTTTAAAGCTCCAGCCCCTCAATAAAACCTTCCTGGGGACAGATCTAGTTTGGCTCTTTAGGAATTTGGGCAGCCCAGAACTCTTCCCATGGGCCATGTGTGTGCCTGGATAAGGGACTGAGCCCTGACAGGGGTGTGATGTGTGTGCTCCTTCCCACGGCCCCTCTGGTGTGATCTCGGCCCCACTGGAAAGCTGGGAGTTCACTGACCTTCAGTAGCTCCAGTTTCTCTTCTTGCAAAGCCAACATTTTCCTTCCCTCCTTCCCCAGCCGCTCCCGGCAGCCGGCACAGGCTCCCTGCCCCTGCCGAGACTGGAAAATCCCCCTCTTTTCCCATTCCCACGTCTTTGCTTCTTCCAGGGGCCAGCTCCGCCCCTCCCATCAGCGGCAGGAGCAGCCGCTCCTCCCTCTGCCCCCCCCCAAGGGCACCCCCAGCCTGTCCCTGCCCCTGCTTGGGCCACCTCGAGGTCCCCTCACCATCCTCTCCCGGTCCGTGGGGTTCCTGTGCCAGCTGTCCCAGGTGTGTGGCAGCAGTGCCAGGCCAGCCCTGCGGTGGGAACACCGTCACCCACATTCCCGGTGCCACCACTCCCCGGCTCTGGACATTCCCAGGAGGGTGTCCACCCCCTCTGGGGGTCCAGGACCCTCTTGGGCTTCTGGTACCATCTCTTCTCCAGCCTCAGTGCAGGACCCATCCCTGGAGCCCCCGGCACACCTGGCTCTGTCCCCTCCACTCCGAGTCTTGGCACCAGATCCCGGCTCTCGTGTCCCCTCCCGGCTCCTCTGCAGTGACACCGGCAGTGCCACCGCACCCTGGCATCCAAGAGTGGGGTTACAAACCCATTTACTCCTTTTCCATGGGCATTTCCATGGGCATTTCCATGGTCACCACGTGGGACACAAGACCCGGGGCCGAGCTCGGTCTCTTGTCCCCATCCCCACTGGTCTCCACATTCCGGCAGAAGGCAGAGCCGGGAACATCCCCCCCTCCCCCTGCCCCCCCAAACCCCAGCCAGCCCAGGGCTGTACCTGGCAGGGCAGCCCCACTTTGTGCTTCCCACGCTGCCACCAGGACACAGGTGACACCCCTGTCCCGGCCCCACATCGCCCGGGGGCTCCCAGTGCTCCCAGTGCTCCCAGTGCTCCCAGTGCTCCCGGTGCTCCCGGTGCTCCCGGTGCTGCCTCAGCACCTGTGGGGAAAGGGGCGTTTTGGGGAGGGGGAGGCCCAAACCCAGACAAACCCCACGAGCAGCTGGGGCTGGTCCTGATGCCGTGCCCTGCCCAGAGAGGGCCCCCGGCCCGGCCGTGCCCCTTCCCCCTCTTGTCCCACCCTCCCTCCTCCTCCAGCACCACCCAGCACCCCCGGCTCACGGTGATCCAAGCAGGGAGCTCTGTTCCTGCTGCCTGCTCCTTCCCTCTCCGTGTCATCCACAGCCAGGGTGACATTCCCTCTGCTCTGTCCCCGGAGAGCTGGTGGCTCCTGCAGCCTCTGGTCCAGGGCCTTGCTGGAGGGATGTCCCCTTGTCCTGGCACTGCTGGCCCCAGGCAAACTGGCAGAGCCTGTCCTTGCCCCGGCCCTGCTCCTGCCAGCAGAGATCCCTGGAGTCCTCAGGGGGTGCCCAGGCAGGGCAAAGGCCAACAGGTCTTCCCTGGAGCCTGGACCCCCCTGGGGAGGATCCCCCTGGCCCAGGGCTGGCTGGGCAGAGGGGGCTGGGCAGGGCTCCCCCCAGACCCCCCCCAGCACATGGCTCTGGCTCAGCCGGGATATCCTGGCTCCCAGGGACTCCAGGCTCCCCCTCCTCATCAGGGATGGAGACCTGTCCTCCCAGAGTTTTCTGCCTGGATCTGTCACCAGCTGTCTCCGGACATCCAGACTTCTTCCTGTGGGGAACAAGGACTCATCCTGCCCAGGGTCAGCTCCCTCAGTGGGGGCAATCCCAGTGAGCTCATCTTCCTCCTCCTCAGGCAGCACCATTCCCTCCTGGAACCTGGCAGCGAAGTCCTCGGTGCAGATGGAGCTGGAGCTGCTCCGGTCCCCCGGGTTGGAGCCCAGGAGAGGAGCCCAGCTCTGCTCCTGCTCCCATGGGACAGGGCTGCTGTCACCCCGGGGACACCCAGCACTGTGTCCTTCCAGCTCTGTGTGGGAGAGCAGACCATGAGCCCACCCCGTGCCTGGGCAGGGGTGGGAAGGACCTGGATCTGAAACACCTTGGAGGGACTGGAAATTCCTGTTCTCATCAAGGAGCATTTGGTGGGCACCAAAGCACACACATTGAAGACATCCCACCCTCTCCAGCAAAATCCTCCACTGCTTCCAGAGGAAAAAGCCACAATATCCTCCTTATTTTCTTTTTAATCCAGGGTCTATTTGCCCCTGATGATGCTCCCAGGGTTGGCACAGCTCAACGGGGGGGCAGTGCCAGCGCAGCAGAGCATGGGATGGGGATACTATCCCCATCTTCTATCACAAAAAATGGGAAGCCACTGCCTGACAGGACAGTCCTGATCCCAAACCAGGGGGACCTGGGCCCAAACTGCCCCTTGCATGTTCCCCAGGGCACAGTTTGCTCTCCAAGCACTCGCTGGTTTGGTTCCTGTGGTGTGTGTTTGGAATCAACAGCATTGGCTGTGGAATCATGGAACCACAGAATTGGCAAGGTTGGAAAAGCCCCCCGAGAGCACTGGATCCAACCATCCCCCAGCACTGCCAAGGCCACCACTGACCATGTCCCCAGGTGCCACATTCACAGGGCTTTTAAATCCCTGGGCAGCTGTGCCAGGGATGGACAGCCCTTTTGGGAAAGAAATTTTCCCCGATGTCCAACCTGACCCTCCCTGGCACAGCTGGAGGCCGTTCCCTCTCCTCCTGTCCCTTGTTCCCTGGGAGCAGAACCCGACCTCCCCCGGCTCCCCCCTCCTGTCAGGGACTTGCAGAGCCAGAAGGTCCCCCCTGAGCCTCCTTTGCTCCAGGCTGAGCCCCCCCAGCTCCCTCAGCCCCTCCTGCTGCTCCAGCCCCTTCCCAGCTCCATGTCCCTCTGCCCCAGCATCATTCCCTGCGGGCATTGCTCTGCAGGAGAGCTGGAGAGGGGGTGGGCAGAGGGGGCTGGGGGGCAAAGCAGCGCTGAGGAAGCCCCAAAGTGCCCCGTTGCCTCTCACCAGCCATCCCGGAGCCAGCGAGGACGGTGTTGGGAAGGGTGTCCCTGTTTGTGCTGCTGCTGGTGCCCAGCACACCCACACCTGGAGGCTGCAGGGGGGAAAAAGGAACGGGGAGTTCAGGGGGGACAAGGCAGGAGCGCCCCAGTGCTGCTGCTGCATCAGCCCCCGGGTGGTCCCGCTGCAGCCCCACATCTCAGCCCCACAACCCTTCCCACCCCCTCCCTGCTGAGCGGGGCATCAGCAGATTCCAGCCCACCGTCCCGGTGTTTCCTTGCCCAGGATCCTGCAAACTCCAACTGCTTCCCAGGGTCCAGGGCTGCAACAGGAAAGAGTTGCCGAGAGTCTCGAAGCCCTGGGGGTTGGCCAAAAACCCCCGGGGGGGCGGGTGTCCAGGCAGGACGGGCAGCACCCCGGGCTGGCAAACAGCTCCCCTGAGGAGCAGGACAAGCGTGCCAGGAGCAAAAGCGTGCTGGTTCGGGGAGGGCTGGGCACCTGTGTGACCCTGCTACACTTCTGGCCTTGGAAAACACCATCCTGCAGCTCCGTGGCTGCCCCCAGCCTGCAGCACAGGGGAACCCGCTCCAGAGAGCTCCACGGACTCCTCGGGCTCCAGAGCGAACACACCGAGCCCGACACAGCCCGGCCCACCCCCGTCCCGGGCCGAGGCCCCGCCGCAGGGTGATGGGGGACAGAGCTTTGCTTTTCCTTAAAGCCAAGATTCCAGCACGGGAGCTGCCCCCGGGAGCTGCCGGGTCCTCACTCCCGCTGCCCGCACCCGGAGCAGGCGGGGACCCCCGGGCTCAGCGGGGCTCAGGGGGGTCCCAGGGCCGGGATCCCCCAGCCCAGCCCCGGTTCGTGCTCACCTGGGGCAGGCAGGGCAGCAGCAGGAGAGGCAGGACCAGGACGGGCAGCGCTGTGTGTCTCTGTCTCCTGGCAACGACCGCAGGGATCAGTCTCAACCTGCCTGAGATTCCCGTCCCCCGCCCCAGCCCCTGCTCAGACCCTCCCCCAGCTCCCCTGGGCCTCCTCCTGCCCCACAGAGTCCCCTGGGACAGCTCCTTCCCACCATCCCCAGGGAACCTCCGTATCCAGGCACCTTCCCCTGAGCCACCTCTCCTGCTCCTCCTTCCCTGTTCCTTCTCCCCCGGGCCACCATCTTCTCCCTTGAACACACTCCCCTGGGACACCCCTGTCCCCAGATGATCTCCTTCCCCACCTTCCTTCATCCCTGGGCAACCCCTTCCCTGGTTCTCCTCCTCTAAGCTGTTGCTCCCAGAGAACCTCCTTCCATGGGCACCTACACCTGGGCCACCTCTCATGCTCCTGCTTCCCTGGACCTCCTCCCCTTGGATGCCTCCTGCCTTGAAAACCCTCCCCTGTATCAACTCCTCTTCTGGCCTCCTGCCCCACAAACCACCTTCCCTGGACCATCCAAGGACCATCTCCTCCCCTCCAAACCACCTTCCTTGGACCATCTCCTCCCCTGGGCAACAATCCCTCTGGATTCTTCTCCTTTCCTGAACAACCACTTCCCTGGATTTCCTCATCCTCTGGGCAACCTTCTCCTTTGAACAACATTCCCTGGATCTCCTCCTCCCCTGGTCACCTACCACGGTCCCTCCTCTGCCCCCCACGCCCCCCCAGAGCTCACCCACCTCGGGGCTCCTCCAGGACCCCCCACCTGCAGCCCTGGGGAGCCAGTGACCATCTCAGCACCACGGCTTTTAAAACTCCCGAATCCAAGTTTTATTTCCGTGAAGGAGAAGAGGGATCACTCACAATATATTATTGTTCAAAAAGAAAATACATTCAACAGCATTTACAGTGGAATGACATTAAAATCCTCCAGGAGGAACAGAAGGACCAGGAGATGGTGCTCTGGTTAAGTGCTGCTGACAGATGAACTCTGGAAGATGGAGCAATTTTTTCAATTAGCCTAAAATCCGGGGGATTCCTGGGTTGGGGGTGCTCCTCGTGCTCCCCTGTGCTCCATGGAGCTGTGCAGGGTTGTGATGGGGATTCCCAGATGGATGTGGCCATGGGGGCACATCAGAGAGGACCTCTCAGGGCCCTAGAGCCGAGCAGGACCCTCGGAGCCAGCACTTACAGGGCAACATCCTGCTCCCCACCCTCCTCTGCTGCAGGAACACCCAGATCCAGCTTTGGGAACAGCCTGTGCTGGAGTTTCCCCCCTCTCCAAGCTCCCAGGTGACACTTGCATTGACACAGCAAAAAGGAAAGTAAGGCATTCTGAAAAGCTCAACTTTTAGCCCATTTTACAAACCCAATTCAGGCCTCAAGTGGGATAAATCCCCCAGAACACTTCGGTGCTGCCACAAACCAACCCAGCGGCATCGGGATCGGTGTGGAGCATCCTCTGCTCTCCTAGGAAGGACACCTGGGGCCAGGACGCCGGCAGCTCTCCACGGGCTGAATCCCACATCTAATGAGGTCTGGACCATTTAAGACCTGCATCGGCTTTCCCGAGCCAGGGCAAAGCTCCAGGAAGGGTCTGGAAGGAGTGAACACGCCGGAGCAGTGGCTGTGACACCCAGGACCTGGGAAACAGCTTGGAGCATCCCACTTCCAGGGATCCCGAGTGCCGCCCCTCAAACCCCAAACACATAGTTTCCAGAGGGGAATGTCCCTGGAAAACCTTTTCAATGCTACTGCATCCAGCTCTGGAGCAAAACACAACTTCCCTGCTTTGGGAATCACTCCATCACCATCCCCCGACCTCGGGGACGAGCCGAGGGGGATCGTACTCGTGCTGCAAAAACTCAGACAGACACTTCTGTCTTCATCATTTTTCATCTATTGTGTACCATAGAAATTTAAGCAAAATAATTTTATATATATTTATATATATGTATAAATTAGAAGCAAATAAATAAGATGAAAGGGTCCCTTGAGAGCAGTGGGGGCTGTTCCTCCCCACGGTGACGCTGTACAGGGTTGGAGGGACTGTACACGTGGGGGAGAATGGGGATGGAGGTGCTGGAAGCTGACCAGGAGACTGATGGATGAGGAACCTGATTGCATAAGTGTCCCATGTGCAGCCTGGATATTCCAGTTATCGTTGTCTCGAAGTTCGTTATTGCTAATTATCCTCTGCCGGGGATGCGCCGGGAGGCAGCGCCGGTGTGACATGGTGAGGAGCTGGAGAAGAGGACACCAAAGATGACATCCAGCGGGGCAAGTGCAGGTGTCCAGCTCTCCCTGATATTCTCTGGCCCAGGGGATCCCACCTTTCGGGGGCTGCCAGCCCTGCTCCCCTTTGGAGCTCCGGGGCCGATCACCGGTAGCGCTCACTCCGCTTCTCCCGGCGGGTCCAGGGCCACGGGAAGGCTGTGGCACACAGGAGGGGTGAGAGGGGACGAGGGGTTCCCTCAGCCCCAGCGACCTGGAGCTGCTCCAAGGAAAGCCCAGCCATGAGGGAGCAGAGGGAAGGGATCCAGGAGCCGGGCGCTGGGACCCTCTGGACTCATCCCATGCCAGGGGACTGTGGCCAGACCTGTCTGGCTGGATGGGGAAGACACAGGGGTAGGAGATCCAGGCCCAAGGCTCCATCCCAGCGGCACCACGGCATCTCTTTCCTCCTCTCCCACCCAGCTCAGCAGGGAGATGCAGCTGGAAAACCTGGCACCGAGGTCCAGGCTCCTGCCAGGCCCTGGATGCCGGGATACGGGGCAGGGACACGGACCCTGGAGCATCGCTGGGATACAACCTCTGCACTGGGTCTGCCTGGCGTTCCAGACCTCAGCAAGGCCATTCCCCCTCTGATGTGGCTGCAGGAAAACCAACCCAAACCTCACTCAAACCACTCCCACAGAGCATCACATCAAAGACAGTCCCAAGCCTTGACTGAACACATCAGACGGTGGGGAAGTGGCTCAAAGGTTCTTGAAAAAAAAACCAAAAAAAACAGGTCAAAAAACCAAAGTCACCAGCTGAAATATCCTAATTGGTGTTACTGGGACGACTGGGCACTGCAGGAACCACCAAGAGCCTCCGGGATCAAGCGCCACGGCCCCTGGGGACAGTTTTCTGAGCAGGACTCAGGGTTGTTCGTGTCCATCTTTGAAGGAACCTGAACCAGGAGCAGATTCTTTTTTTTAAAAAAATAATTCCATCAAGTCCACACAGAAATAATGGAAGGGGAAAAAAAACATGGCAAAGAGAAGAGCTCACACAAGCGCACGGCATTCCCACACCCCGGGCATCTTTGGAAGTCGATGTCTCGGCCGATGGAGCCGAGGCACTGAGGGATACAGGCAGTGAATATCCCAAACCCAACCCGGCTCCACGTGTCCTTCGTTCCCAATTAGTTGCTGAAAAAGCCATCATTTAAAAAAAAAAAAACCCAAAAAAAAAGGATGCTATTTATTAGTGCGTAAAAAAATAGGTTTGGAATCCCTGTTTCGACCTCTGCATGTGTTGGCTCGGGGGTTGCCCTGGGAGGTGCCGGCGTGTCCGGGCTGTCCCTGGGCTGTCCCTGGGCTGTCCCTGGGCTGTGCCCAGGCTGTCCCGGTGTCCTGCGGGGCGGCCCCAGCGTGGGCAGGGGCTCAGAAGATGTCGGGGCACACGCTCCAGTCCTGCTTTTCCTTGGCCTCCCAGTAGCCGCCCTTGTAGACGCAGATGAGCTCCCCGGTCACGGCGTCCACCTTCCGCTCGAACCACAGCGGGATGTACCCCTCGTAGTCCTTCCCTGTCCCGGGAGGAACACGGTCAGCGATGCTTCTCCACCTGAAATCCGGCGGGTCCCACACCTCCCATGGCCACAGAGAGCTGTGGGATCCATCCACCCCTTCCCTGTCCCACGCCGTCCCCGCCCATGGACATCCCGGATCACCTCACCTTCCTCCAGGGCCTCCACGGCCTCGGCCTCCCTCCTGCGGCGCACGGCCCGCTGCTTCTCCTCCAGCCGCTGCTTCTCCACGTTGGCCTCGTCCCAGCGGCCGCTCTCCATGAGCCGCTGGTCGGGGCGCAGCCGACTGTCCGTGGGGGCCACGCGCTCCTCGGGCTCGTTCAGCGTCAGCGCCAGCTCCGAGAAGAAGTACATGTTCTCCGCGTTCTCCCTGCGGCCGGAGAGCCCTGGTCAGGATGGTGGGGTGGGGCCACCTCAGGCAGGGCCCCCCAGCCCCTCGTGGCCCTCTGTCCCACCCCAGCCCCGCTGACCCGCTCCTGCTGTGCCAAACCAGATGTGTCCCAGCCCTGCTGTGTCCCAGCCCCAGGGCAGGGCCCGTCCCTGTGCTGGCACTGCTGGGGCACCTCCAGCCCTGGGGGCACTTCTGGAACCCTCAGACAAGAGACACTGAGGGGCTGGAGCGTGTGCAGGGAAGGGAACGGAGCTGGGAAGGGGCTGGAGCAGCAGGAGGGGCTGAGGGAGCTGGGGGGGCTCAGCCTGGAGCAAAGGAGGCTCAGGGGGGACCTTCTGGCTCTGCAACCCCCTGACAGGAGGGGGGAGCCGGGGGGGGTCGGGCTCTGCTCCCAGGGAACAAGGGACAGGAGGAGAGGGAACGGCCTCCAGCTGTGCCAGAGGAGGGTCAGGTTGGATATTGGGAAAATTCCTTCATGGAAAGGGTGGTCAGGCCCTGGCACAGCTGCCCAGGGCAGTGGTGGAGTCCCCATCCCAACAGAACATCCCCAGTCAGGGACAGTCTATTGCTGCTACCAGAGGCTGGAGACTGATCTGAGCACAGCCCTGCTGGGGGCAAGAGTGCTAAGGGAGGATTGATCTCCAGAGGGATAAAGTGATTGGTGGGACAGGATGACCAGGGACTCTCCAGCAAGGCAAAGCAGCCAACACCCCTCCCTGCCATAGCCCACAGCCCCAGAAACCCAACCAGACTCCCTGATTGCCCCAAACCCACCCACAAGGG